TAAAACGCTCCATTGATTGAAGCACCCACAACTCCTGGAGGCCAGTCGTTCCACTGGTTAATTGTCCTCACTCTTGGGAAAGTCCAACAGCTTGGTTTCTTCCTCTTGAACATTTATATCTGCACAAACAGAACTGGGTAGGAGCAATGAAGGTGGTGCAACCTTTGCAAGGGTCTTTGCCTGGGGAGGGAGGCTTGGGGGGTCACGGGGGGCTGAGCAGAGCAGCCAGCCAAGCCTGAACTGTGGGGACCAGCAAAGCAAGAGGGGAGGGCCTGGCTTTGCCTTTTGCTGCTGGCTTTTGCAAAGCCTGGGCCAGCCACACATCCCTTGCCTCGTGTCTCAGTGGAAAAATGAGGCTGGGGGAGCAGGTCCTGTGCCCAGACCGCCCCCCCCTCTTCATGAGGAAGTGAGGGGAGGGGGCAGAAGCCCCTGCAGCATTTGCCTCAGGCAGAATTGGAGGGACTTTGGAAAAAAACAAGCAGGAAAATAGCTGAGGTGTTTAAACCTGGCCATGGGATAGGAACTGTTAGGCCTCTCTCTCCAGAATTAGAACCCACAGCCAGGCAGGAAGAGTTTGATGGGCAAACTTTGGGGGGGGGCAGGCATTGCTCCTGTGAGAGGATTGGGGGAGGCACGGGGTGGAATTGAGGGACAGGGAGGGTGACTACGTCAGGCCTGGAGATTTGGAGAAGCACTGGAAGTTTTTTTCTTGGCTAGAGAAACAAAAAAGAATGAAGTTACACAATTACAACAATCCCCCCCCCAAAAAAACACACCCTGACCCTGGTTTCCAGAAAGTTTGTAGAGGCTGGGCTGTGTCATGGAGCCCTTAAGGCAGGGCTGAGCTCACGTTTCTTTGGGTTTTAGTGTTTAGATTCTCTATGGCTTGTATTGTAATGGAAGAAGTTTTCGTTTTCATTTGATTATGCAAGGAGCAATATTGCGTTGATTGCGTTTATTTTCTTTTATATCTGTTTTACCGGAGTAATGGATTTGGGAAAATGTACCCTACTCAGAATTGGACCGATTGGAAGCCCTGTAAATAAATAAAAGGAACAATTCAGAATGTATGCTGCAGTTTTGCAATATTTCCATCCTAAAGTTGATTTTTCGCCAACTCTTGGTATTTCATTTTTTTCCTTAAATGTAATTTTTTTCCTTAATTTTATGTATTATTTATTTGTTTGTTTTTAAAGTTTGTTTAAATTTGTAAGCTGCCCAACTCCATTACAACTTTGGCTGACGTACTATATACAAAATTTAAAATAAAACAATCTATGCAGTAGTTGTGGTTGGCAAGGGAAACATCCTGTCCCAACATCCTGGATGGGTTATCAACATTTTCAGCTAACAAATCAAAGAAAGAAGTTTCTGGGAGGTGTTTGGCTGTAGGGCAGAATTCTCAACCATGGCTCCTTTAAGATGAGTGGACTTCAACTCCCAAAATTCCCCAGCCAGCCTGCTGCTTGGGGAATCCTGGGAGTTGAAGTCCATCCTCCTTAAAGCTGCCATGGTTGAGAAACTATTTGGGTCTCTGTCTTCCCGTGTCCAGCAGCAGGCAAACTTTGAGCTGCAGGAAGCCATGAAGCTGGGCTGATTTAAAAAGAGCTGGGATCTTGGGTTTTGCAGGTTAATAGGTTTGTTGTTACAGAAATGGCTAGTTTATATTATTATATAAAAATACAATGTTGAGGTTTGATGCTATTATCTTATTCTACTGCCCCAAAAGGAATCAGACGTCAAGGCTTTTTCCTTCTTTTTTCCCTTTGCCCTACACTTTTCTCTTAACCTTTTCCTCCCTTATTTTTCCATTATCAATCAAAATAGAGCTGGAAGGGACCTTGGAGGTCTTCTAGTCCAGCCCCTTGCTCAAGCAGGAGACCCTGGTGTATATCATTTCAGACAAGTGGCTGTCAAATCTCTTTCTGAAAACTTCCAGTGATGGAGCATCCACAACTTCTGGAGGCAAGCTGTTCCGCTGGTTGATTGTTCACATTGTTAGGAAGTTTCTCCTTAATTCCAGGTTGCTTCTCTCCTTGATTAGTTTCCATCCATTGTTTCTTGTCCTGCCTTCTGGTGCTTTGGAAAATAAATTGACCCCCCCCCTCCTTATGGTAGCCTCTCAAATATTGGAAGACTGTTATCATGTCCCCCCTAGTCCTTCTTTTCTCCAGACTGGCCATACCCAAATCCTGCAACCATTCTTCATATGTTTTTGTCTCTAGGCCTTTAATCATCTTAGTTGCTCTTCTCTGCACTTTTTCCAAAGTCTCAACATCTTTTTTGTAATGTGGTGACCAAAACTGGATGCAGTATTCCAGGTGTGGCCTTACTAAGGCTTTATAAAGTGGTAATAATACTTCGCGTGATCTTGATTCTATGCTTCTGTTTACACAACCAAGGATAGTATTGACTTTTTTGGCAGCTGTCACACACGGCTGGCTCATGTTTAAGTGATCATCCATTAGGACTCCAAGGTCCCTCTCGCAGTTACTGTTTTAGAGCTGGGTTTCGCCTAATCTATACTTCTACCTTTGGTTTTTCCTGCCCAGGTGTAAAAGCTTGCTTTTCTCCACATTAAATATCATTTTGTTGGATAGGGCCAATTAATCAAGTCTGTCAGGACCTTTTTGGATCCTGAACTTGTCTTCTGGGGTGTTAGCTATTCCTGCCAGCTTAGTGTCATCTGCACATTTGATGAGTTCCCCTTTTATTCCCTCATCTAAGTCATTTATGAAGCCATAGAAGAGTATATTTTCTTTTGTGTTTTTGTATTTTATATTGTATTTGCATAAACTACGGTAATAAAAATTTTGAATTACAAAGAGTGAAAATAAAAAAGAGCTGGGATCAGCCCAGGGGATCCACAGTATCTCAGGAACACAGCAATTCCAATCATTGCTGCGGTCTTCCTAAACAAGGAGGAGCAGTGCCTGGGCTCTGCTGGGTCCTTATGGCAGGGCTCTCCAGACGTGGCAACTTTAAGACTTGTGGACATCAACTCCCAGAATTCCTCAGCCAGCACTTCAGTTCCCAGAATTCATGCTGGCTGGAAAATTCTGGGAGCTGAAGTCCACATGTCTTAAAGTTGCTAAGGTTGGAGAGCCCTGCCTTATGCCCTTGGAGAAAGGTGACTGCTGATGGGGAAGCAGAGATGCTGCCTTGGCTGCATGCCCAAGCCAGCCACAGACGGGGCTGCCAGCTCTTCCTTGAACTCCGACGGGCTCCTCTTCCCAACCGCTTGTGGGTCAAGGGCTGGGAAGCCTCCCAGAGGACCATGCAAAGAAAGGGAGGATTGGCGAATAAGCAGGGAGGGAAAGGAGGATGGTCAGATCTGGCTATGAAAGGCCAGTGAGATCCAGGAGGTTCTCGGGGGCTGGAGGCGCCCTTCCCGGTCCATCTTCCCAGATAAACATGGCCACATTGCCAAGCTTTTACGGATAGAGAGTGTGATCATGTGGTTAATGTGTGGGTATTTCTTTCTGGAGAATCCAATCTGAGTCGGTCACTGGGAGCAAAGGTTTGTTCTTCCAAGCTTCTTGGCTCGTGCTGGAGTCCATCCTCAGGGAACTTTTCTCTCTCCAGAATGTGTGCGCTGCGTTGTTCTACGCATTGTATTTATACGGTTATATGGTTCATGTGGTTACAAGGAAACAACAATTAACGACTTAATAGCCAGAGACCTCCAAGGTCCCGTCCAACTTTATTATTATTATTATGATCAACACCCTAGTTAACAAGTAAAAGCTACATACAACCAGGAACCACTAAGAAGAGGGGGGGTCAATCTATTCTCCAAGGCAGGACAAGAAGCAAGGGATGGAAACTAATGAAGGAGAGAGAAAAATCTAGAAGTCAGGAGAAATGTCCTGATGGTGAGAATAATTAATCAGCAGAACAATTTGTTTCCAGAAGTTGTGGGTGCTCCATCACTGGAGGTTTAAAAAGAAAAGATCGGATAGCCACTTGTCTGAAGTAATATAGGGCAGAGGCCCCCAATCTTTTAGGCACCAGGGACCGGTTCTGTGGGGAGAGATTTTTCCACAGACCGGAGGGGATGTGGTTTCTTGTGTTGCTAGTTTGTGCAGCCCGGGTTTTGGCATGTCACCGCCCGGTGCTGGTCCACCGATCAGAGGTCGGGGACCTCTGTATAGGGCAGTGGTGGTGAACCTATGGCACACGTGCCAGAGGTGGCACTCAGAGCCCTCTCTGTTGGCACACACACTACCTGCCACCGCCGCCCGGAGCAGGAGCCCCGCCCAGCACAAAGCAGGCGAAGCGGCCGACTAGCAAGCTCAAGTAGAGGTGGTAGAGCAGAGCTCACCAACCATTGTTGGACTGGAAGAAAAGGGAGGGGGAAGCATTTTGCACTGCAAATGGGGCAGGGCTAGTGGCTGCGTGATACTCACTAGCCCTGCCCTGTTCTTGCCTGATGCAGCGCCTTGTATCTGCACCCTGCAGTGCGGTGTTGGCCATTTTTGCGCCTTGCAGCACGGTGGCCCATTTTTGCACCCCCAGTTTTTGCGTGCCAGAGGCGGCACTCAGAGGCATCTCCCTGCCCCCCCCCCTCGAGGACACCACAATGCTGATGCAGCCCTGGCACTTTGCGATAAATAAATGGGTTTTGGGTTGCGGTTTGGGCACTCGGTCTCTAAAAGGTTCGCCATCACTGGTATAGGATTTCCTGCCTGAGCAGGGGGTTAGATTAGAAAACCTCAAAGTCCTTTCCAACTCTGTTATTTCTTCTATTCTATTCTATTCTATTCTATTCTATTCTATTCTATTCTATTCTATTCCATTCCAAATACAACACACAGAACAGCCCAGGGCACACATTCTGGAAAGAAAGAAGTTCCTTGGGGATGGGTTCCAGAACGAGTCTGAAAGCTTGGAAAAATAAAACTTTGGTTCCTGTGACCAACCCAGATTGGATCCTGTAACATTATCCTGGGACACGTATTTTTTTTATCTTCATTTGCTACTTCTCTCTCTCTTTCCAGATCCTTTGGTTCTACAACTGTCAGAATTTCCACCCAGGATGATGGTTCTTTGCAGAGGTTCACTGTTCCGGCCATCGTAATGAAAATGTAGCAAGAAGGGATCTTGTGATGGTGAGTCATCCATGAATCTGGTTCTAAGATTCTTCAAGCTGGATTAAACCGAGTCTTCTCCAGAGAAGACCAAAAAGTTGACCCGGGATCAGGTGCCTTTTCACACTTACGTTCTTCTGGAAGATGGATTGCTCTTAACCTTCTTAGAAACATCTCATCATTGTCACAAGAGGCCATATAGATCCAAATTATTTATCGCTTGACATGAATCTACTTAATAAGAATGTTTAATTTGGCTACCTTGCGATAGGTAATACAGTCATATTTAATAAACCTGGGTATTAGGTCATATCTCATGTTATGCTTGCTTAAACCAGGGGCCTCCAAACTTGACAACTTGAAGACTTGAGGACTTCAACTCCCAGAATTCCTCAGCCGGCATGACTGACTAAGGAATTCTGGGAGTTGAAGTCCACAACGTTCAAAGTGGCCAAGTTTGGAGGGCCCTGCTCTAGTTGGCTGAGGAATTCTGGGAACTGAAGTCCACAAAATTACAAAGTTTGGAGTCTCCTGGCGTAGATAATTCAGGCAATTCGCTTTTGCCACAGATGAGCTTCACAATATGGACTTTGTTGCTGTGGGCTAACCTCCCTTCTGACTAGGTGGTCCATTTCAAGGAACCCTTAATGAAAGAAGCTGAACCTTTATGTGGTGACATCACAATGTCTTTCTGCCAAATTGAATGCACACTTGTGATGTGTGCGCAGCTCTTCAGCATTTCAAAAGAAGAAAACATGAATATTTATTTATTTATTTCCTCCAAATTTATATAACCATCCATCTCTTCTGTGAGACTCTGGTTGGCTCATGAATTAAAATAACAAAAAAAGAAAAAAGAAGGAAATTGTAGAAATAAAAACAATTAAAAAGTTGAAATAATTAAAACCAGTTTTACCAGAAACATAAAACAGAGGACAGGGCCAACCAACAAACAGCTTATGGACAATGTATTCATTTTGCAGGTTTCACAGGGTCCCCAAACCTTAGGCTTTGGGGCCTAACCTAAAAGGAGATGATGTTCCAAAGGGAGGGAGGGGTGTATGTGCCATGGCAAAAAAAAAAAGGGTCTCTTCCTGGATCCATAACATGCCCCTCTGATAGGATGGGTAGAAGAAATACCCTCATATAACCATGTAAGCCTTTATAGGCCATAATCAATAGCTTGAATTGAACCCAGAAGCAAACTGACAATGAATAGGATAAGGCGAGGCTTAGCTTTAAGCGTGAAGCGTGACTCTCTTGCATTTTAAGATAGCCTGACAGCCCGTGGCACAGGACATACTGGGAGAATGAAAGGAAGAAAGGATTCAAATAAATATCCTAGAAACTAATGTTTCCCAGTAGCGAAAAAATTGATGCTGGAGTGAGGCAGTTCAGCAAGACAGGATCAAAAATATACCTCCGAACCAACCACAAAGTATTTACAGAAAATAAGTAAAAAAGACTTTGGAAGGGCCTTTACCGTCCATAGACATGAAAGTACGGGAGGAGATCTCGGTTATGCAAAAAGAGCTAAGAATATTTTTGAGTTAAAAGAATTCTGTAAGGAAGGGTAGGAGAAAAAAAAAATTCCGCTGGTGTGAATAAAAGACTGTTTAGCTGGCTATAGGAAATATGCAAAGCTCTTATTTCTGCAAAAGATAAAAAGTAGGGATCCAAATGTCTGCACTTGCCATGTTCCCAGTTTTCAGATTCCGAATCCATAAACAACCGCACACCAGTATGCATTCACACATGCAGAAAGACACCCTGTGCAACTTTCTACCATGCAGAGATGGTATCCACTTGTTCATTTGGGGATTCATTGATAGAGAGGTGCCTATATGTTTGGATGCACCACATCACCCCAAAGGCTGCCGTGGGGAGAAGCAGGGAACACATGGATCCTGGCCCCTCTTTGCCTAAGACCGCTGTCTGCTTTTGCAACAGACCCTGGATCAGCTTCAAGTTTCCAAAATCAGAAGCAGGCTTCCTTCAGCTCCCACTGTTTCCCCTTCCCAAGCCCCTCGCCTTTCCTTCCCCCATCATCTGGCACTTCAGGAGCCAGCCCCCCCACTAGGCCTGTCTGAGACAAGTTTCCCCTTTATTCTTCCCTCTTCTCCCCCCTCCCTCCCCGCTCCCGGTCCTGGGCTTTGCATCCTCCTTCCCTGGCCCAGCACCTTCAGCATCTGGGTTTGATTAAATAAACATGGGCACCGTTGGATCCAGCAAAAATTACTTTCTTCCATTGGCTTTGAAACGTGTGGTGAGCTCGGCCAAAGGAAACGCACCTGAGGGAGTCTTGTCTTACGCTTCCCCAAAGATGGCCCCTTGCATATGGGGCAGTGGGCTGGGAGAGGAGGCTGGGTCTTTGGCTCTGGGTTCTGCTGACAGGGGAGGGAGCCCTGCCAGCTGCCAGCTGTACCCCTGTGAAGGAGGCTGTTCCGTGCTGCAGCCAGATGCTCAGCGGGAGCAGCACGGAGCAGTCAGCCCTACGGGGTGCAGATAGGAAAAGAGGGGGGGCCCTTCAAATTATGGGTGTTTAGGGGGAGGGGGTCAGCTTGTCTTCCCGTAATGGCTGCCTCGGTTTTGCTCTTTTTTCCCCAGCTTTTTCTCTCTCTTTATTTGTTGGAAGCAAAATTTTCAGACTGAAGTCTCATAATGCACTGGGAGTTGGGGTTGGGACCCTCCCCGATTCTGTTGAATGATGGCCCGGGTATCCTACAATGAGGTCTGTTTGTTTGAAGGATTTTATTTCATGGCTGCTGTATAAGCAGGCCTTGAATTGCGACCCCAATTGAGCCAAATAATTTTGTTGCTAAGCGAGACAGTTTTAAGCGAGCTTTGCACCAGCATACAATGATTTCTTGCGAATCCCTGCAGTTGTTAAGTTAGTAACGTGGTTGTTAAGTGAAAATGGCTTCCCTACTGTCAGAAGGTCGCAAAAGGGGATCACGTGACCCGGGGACACTGCAACCGTCATAAATAGGAACCAGTGGCCAAGCCTCTGAATTTTGATCACATGACCCATGGGGATGCTGCAACGGTTACCAGTGTGAAAAACGGTCATAAGTCATTTTTTTTCCAGTGCTGCTGTAACTTTCAGTGGTCACTAAATGAATGGTATCTTGCTTTTATTTGGGTGTTGTAAGGCAGGACTTTTCAACCAGTGGCATGGGTACCACCTGTGGTACATTGGCACCGGACAGGTGGCACGCAACCATTCTAGAAAAGTGGTAGCAGGGGAGGGGAATGAGCTGAACCGGTGGCAGCAATGCACAAGCCTGAGCGAGAGATGGCTGGAGCTGCAGGGCTGTCAGGGCTCAGTGGAAGCACCAGGATCAGCGCTTCTTCGGGGCTGTCAGGGCTCAGTGGAAGCGCCAGGATCAGCGCCAGGATCCAGCTGGAACTCGGCGCTGATCCTGACACTTCTGCTGAGCCCAGAAGAAGCACCAATCAGCTGGAATATTGCAGCATCCCAAGGATCTTGTGATTTACATTCAGATGCTTGGCAACTGATTCATATTTATGACGGTCACAATGTCCCAGGGTCATGTGAAGTGACCAAAACCTGCTGCAGCCACCCAGCAGATGGGAATAAAGACCAAACACCCCCCCACCCCACCCCCACTGCCAATCCTCAACAGAAATGCTCACAACAATGGAAACCTCGGACAGGAGGAAGAGCGCCACTGGGCGGGAACGCAGGTGTCTTGCTCGGCTGTGGCTTGGGGGGCACTTTTTTCAGTGCCATTGTAACTTCGAACAGTCATTAAGCGAACTGTTGTAAGTCGAGGACTACCTGTACTTTATCACTTTTTTCCTTTTTTTTTTTTTGGTCATCAAGTTTTTGACGCCTTGCTAGGCGACTGGTGGTCCTCGGATGTTGCCATATCCTAAAAGTGGTACAATGGGTGAAAAGGTTGAAAAGCCCTGTTGTAAGGTACCAAAGTTTCACTGAAGATGGGCAGCCATATAAATGTTTGATATAAAATATTAACGGCAGTAATGTGTTCAGCTTGTCTTGGGCAAACAGATGGAATTGCAATGCAGCCAGCTGGGAAAGGGGTAGGATGGGTCTCTCAGCCTTACGCAAGTGGTGCTGGACTTACAACATTCGTTTAGTGAACGTTTGAAGTGATTTACAACCGTTTTTGGTTTTTTTTGAGCCACACACCTTTCTTTGTCAGAGGCACAGAGTGGCTAATTTGGGGAGGGAGAGAAAAAGATTGGTGATGCCAATGCAGGGGAAGCACAGGACTGGCACCCCTTAAATTAGCAACTGAAATGTATTAAAACCCCAGGGCGTTTCACAATGGAGCCCTTGGAGGTCTGGCTATATTTTGCCAAGTTAGAAACAAAAGGATTTTTTGGACCTCTTTCCGTTTAATAGAAGAACTGACGGATAATTCTGCCTCTTTGTTGCTGGGAGTCTCCTTCTGCTGTTGCTGCTGCTGCTGCTGCTACTAGTTGATTTTCTTAACCGTGGCAACTTTTATTTTATTTTATTTATTTTTTTATTTTTTATTTTTTTCTTTTTGTCTTTACACATAACAAAAATACAAAGTACATTTTTTTTCTTTTTTCTTAACAATGCTATGTTCTATATCTCTTACATTTATTTACATTACTTCTCATACTTTTTTACTCCTCAGTTCTAACCAGTTTTTGGCAACTTTTAAGATGTGTGGACTTCAACTCCCAGAGTGCCTGGCTGGGGAATTCTGGGAGTTGAAGTCCACAGGTCTTAAAGTGGCCGAGGTAGAAAACCCCTGTCTAGAGCACAAACAGCCCCCAATTCTTGCTGGGATTTTTCTTTCTGATCCGAGTTGCTGTGGTGATGGCAGATCTGGAGTACGGCTGGGGTGGGGTATGGCCTCCTTCCTCCTCAAGGTCTGGGGATGAAGAGGTGAAATGGCCCTGGCAATCCCTGAACCCGGTCCACTGCCCCACCTTTTTCAGGCTGGTCTCCCTGCCAACGTTCCCTTGGAACGCCAAGGAGAGCGAAAGGGCCTTTTGTC